TGTGCATCCATTTTACCGATCTGATTTTTTTTTGGGGGGGGGGGGGCGTTGGGGGGAGGGGGGGGGGGTAAACAAACTGTTGGTTTGGGGCTTCTCATGCAGATGATTTCCAATTTCGAAAGAAACAGCTCTAATTAGTTGCCCTCTACGACAAGCTTGTTAGGAGGCTGTGAGTACCCCTTACCCTCCTCCCCTCCCTAATGTGGCCACATTGGAAGAGTTATAAGATTGCACTAGGGTGATAAGAGGGGACACAAATTACACTAATCATTCAATCAATCAGGAGCAGTCTGAAACAAGGTTTCCTAAAGTGAGTTACCGCCCTCTGGCGATGAAGAGGAAAAAAGGGGGGGGGGGGCGCTAGGATGTTTCAGACGTGACAGCTGCCTCGTTCAGATTTGGGGGCGCTGGGATGGGTTACATGTAATAACTGCCTCGGTCAGATTTGGGGGCGCTGGGATGGGTTACATGTAATAACTGCCTCGGTCAGATTTGGGGGCGCTGGGATGGGTTACATGTAATAACTGCCTCGGTCAGATTTGGGGGCGCTGGGATGGGTTACATGTAATAACTGCCTCGGTCAGATTTGGGGGCGCTGGGATGGTTCGGAGGTAATAGTTCCCTCGGTCAAATCTGGGGATTGTTGGGAGGGTAGAAGAACAGAAAAGAACATTCTGATAACCTGTTGTCCCTGTCTGGAGTGAAACACTAAATAAAGAATGGGTAACAGCATGACAATATTTAAAATTAAAAAAAAAAATAAAAACTTGACAGAAATACGCAGATTATTGAAAGAGACAATTAGAACTTTCAGACAATGAAAGAGACAGTTACAAATTTCAGACACTGAAAGAGACAGTAAAAACTTGCAGACACTAAAAGAGACAGAACTTTCAGACACTGAAAGAGACAGTAAGAACTTTCAGACACTGAAAGAGTCAGTAAGAACTTTCAGACACTGAAAGAGACAGTAAGAACTTTCAGACACTGAAAGAGACAGTTAGAACTTTCAGACACTGAAAGAGACACTGTAAACATGTAGCATACCGTCATGGGTTTCGCTCACTCTGTCGAATGCGGTTATGATGCATGAAAGTAAATTAGAGAGCACAATTTAAAGATTGCCTGAACCGTTTGACGCAGAATGGAAACCTTAGCCACTAGAACAACCCTAGAGAAAGTAAGAGGCCCTGATGGACCGTTTACATGTACCGTTTGTCATAGAATTGAAACAAAGCCAACACTGACCACTGAACAATGCAACTTTAGTATTTTCTTCGCTGTATTAATATTTGCAGGTGTGTAATGTGAATGTTTAAATAGCTGAATTAAAAAAAAAAAAAGTTATGTACAATTTTAAGTTGCAAGACTCTTTTATAACTGCATAGTCCTGACTACGTTGATTAGTGACACAATCATTTAGACACCCAGGACAGATTCATTGGTGCTCCACTCTCCTACACAATATAGCTAGCCTACAACGTAATAAGACTGGACACGTTAGTTCAGTATTGAACAGAATCAAACGTCTTGTGATCTTAGAATAATTCCCATGTCTGGTAGTTCTATGCTGCACCTCCATATCAACCAGCCTGAACAGAATAACTGAGTCAACAATTTCATGGCAATCGTCGTTACGATATTCAAATAAATAAACAGAGGGGGAACCTTTAAGGCCGTTAAATATTATGAATTAACCAAGTAACAGAAAGTGTACTGATCGGCACTCATAGAAAGAAGTAGAAAGATAAAAGAACACAGAAGACAACATAAAAATCGAAAGCTATAGTTACCATGCACACGCCGTCTGGAGGTGACAGGTTCAATTCCCGGCACGGTAACTATAGCTTTCGATTGTTATGTTGTCTAGTGTGTTCTTCTATATTTTTACTTCTTTCTATGAGTGCCAATCAATAAGCTTTATGTTACTTGATTGATTTACGATATTCAAATCGCATGGAATTGATGACACTGCTTCTGACCGTTGCCAGAGGAGTCATAATATCTGCATTTTCTGAGAGATAAACTGCATTTTCTTGAACACACGCATGGCTCGTCACACATACAAAGGTTAGGCTAGCAATTTGCGACGAACATAATATGACAAACCATTCATGTCTGATAAATACAACATAAAATGGAGTATGTGATGGGGATGAAAACCTCTCCCTCTGTTCCTCTAATGTATCTACATTGTACGACATAGGAAGAAATAAATGGCATGAAAACAAAAGCGTTCATAGCATCTTTATATTTTTTTGATCACGGAAGTTAAATATTTAGGATAGTAACAGACTTGAGAATTCAGCGACAAATATCACAATTGGTGGACAGACAAAGAGATAATACACCCTGATGGCTGGATTAAATACTTGAGGTAGGACAAGAGCGCCTACTTGACCCGTGATACTGCTGATAGTCTAGGAGTGCAAATCGTTACCACCAACAATCGGTACGGTAAATTGGGTAAATTATATTTTAAAATAGAAAAGGGGACGAAAGGACCAAAATGCTGATCTAAAAATTGCTGTCGAAAGCTGTAGTGAAACTCGAATGCTCTCTAACAAAGAAATGTGAGCTATTTTTCAGAAGATCCACATCTCGAGAACCTCATTTCACCTTCTAATCGCTTGGTCATTAGCAGTGTTTACTTTGATACGATTATCGCTCTCATCTATGTATGATCTATGTATAGGTGAAATAAGCAGTCAGTTTACAAGTTTTAGATGTCTGACACTGACAGCGTATTCTAACCCAGTGAGCGCTGTACCCAGTTGGAAATACATAATACCAGTAAGCTGTGCCAGCTTCAAAGAGCTTGTTTGTTAGTGGTACCCATAGTTCATCAGTTCTGTGGCCTACATAAATGGAAAAAGAAAATATAAAATAATTAGTTGCAATTGTAAAAAAGCAACAGTTGTGTGTGTGTGTGATGTGTGAGTGTGTGTGTGTGTGTGTGTGTGTGTGTGTGTGTGTGTGTGGTGTGTGTGTGTATCCGGCGCTTCATCGTAGTTAATAGCGCGTTTGACGTCAGGTGACAATTGTGATGCATGTCCGGTCTCGGGTTCGAGCCGGGGGATGGCAGAAAAGCCACATACTCCCCTGATTAACAGTGTACGTGGCACCGAGGCTGAAGGGCTTCAATGCTCATGACATAGAGCCAAATGTGCTTCTGGTAAAAATCAAACAAATAATACTAGACATGGGGGGGGGGGGGTAAACTGGTCCAAACACCCCCCACCCCCTTTTTTTTCCCCGTGTTCTGAAGGTCGTCGGTTCGTTTCCTGTACGTCATTATTCGCTTCACGACAATAATTTGTACAGAGATCCCTGGCTATCGTCACTGGAGCAACAGAGTTAGCATGCTGTGCGATAACAGGTGCAATCAAATACAATCAGGAGCAATAAAATCAAACCTTTTGACTTGAAACCTTTGAACCAGTTTTGCTTTCACTGTATCTGCTGACACTCTAGTGGTGATAAAGTCAGCAGTAGCATGCCGGTCGCTTTTCTTCGCGGAAAGTCTATCAGTTAACACTGTGAACTGGATTGATCAAGGAGCTTGATCAATTTTTAAATTTGGCTCGACGGGTCATGACTGTTCAACTAAGTTTACTCAGGGTTCAAAATGTTCAAAGTGTGGATGATCACGTGCCAGTGACCCGAGCACCAGCATAGAAAGATCCTTAATACCTTAGACATAAATCTACAAGAGTGTTAAGGGCCTTTGATGGAGGCTGTTAGACAAGTGAGAATCAGAACCCCAAATGTTCCTATACATCTGAAACGATAAAGAGGAAGTAGAGAATAGAAAGAGAGCTACTCGATCTAGGCTGATAGAGATATAAAAATATGAATTAAAAAAAAAAAGGAAAGATAATTTTACTTAGCATGTGCCCAGCTGAGTACAACGTGGATAGAACAAGTCTAGAAATGTATGGACAGGGTCAAATAGTGGCCAGAACAAGTTTATAAATGTATGGAAATGGCCAAAGAGTGGAAATAATAAATCTATTCGGCCAAATAGTTGGTCCCGCTATTCGTATTTAGCGGAATAGTGAAAATCACTATTCGGTACAGCCCTAGTTAACACCCCTCCAAGCCAAGACAAAATACTATCAAGAATCTTCTTGCGCTGTCTCCCTTTGTTTATCTTTCCATAAATCTTTCCAGTCGTCACTAGAAATATATGGATATGGCAAAAAGAGGTGACAAAATAAGGAAATGTTCAATCGACTGGTAGTTCGAACCGTCACTGGGCGGCTGCCACCTAAATGTTAACCCCCTTATAAAAACAAAAAATAGCAATCTAGATAGCAGATAAACGGGACATATCTCACATACCCTGTTCAACATTGAAAGAAGTTAAACAGATATTTAGAGTATCGGCAACAGCTAAACGAGTCCGGTGTAACCTGCAGTTCGATGCATTATTTCTGAAGAAACGAATACAAGTAACACATATCGTCTTCATACTAACAAGTCAGGTATACAAATGACAAACGTCCATATGACATTTCAAGAAAGTTAGTTATACAAGTGACACATTCTCATCGCAGTTACAAGACAGTTATACAAGTGACACACATTCTCATCACAGTTACAAGACAGTTATACAAGTTTCACACATCCTTATCACAGTTATAAGACAGTTATACAAGTAACGCAGATCCTTATCACAGTTACAAGACAGTTTTACAAGTGACACACATCCTCATCACAGTTACAAGACAGTTATAAAAGTGACACATCCTCATCACAGTTACGAGACAGTTATACGAGCAACACACATAATAATCTCATAAGACATTCATACGAGTAACACACATCCTCATTTCAATTACAGGACAGTTATGCAAGTAATATACACCTTTATCTCACCCACAAGACAGTTGTACAAGTAACACACATCTTCACCTCACTGACAAGACAATTAAACATGTTCATCACACTTGCCAAAGAGCCATATGACAATTAACATCTATCGTCAGCACACTCACCCGCGGCCCCTGTAACATCAACGTAAACTTCTATCAGCGAAGTATTATTGTCATGCTGGATCACGTGAAGAACTTTATGCTCAAAACCTGTCATCAGATAAGGGTCAGAAACTGCTCCATCGGGCACGTCATCAGCTCTCCATACAGCTCCCCAACCCTTTAAATTGGCAATAGGACTGAATTGTACTCAACACATTAAACATATTAGGTAAAGGTCAGGTAAAGTTAAAAATGCTGACTTCCAATCTATCTCAGTCTCTCTCCATGGAACAGCTAGCTGCTTACCTGGAGCGTCGCACAAAGTAAGAACTCCGTAGCTTCAGCGACGATCCTTAGGATCTTCGTAAAAATTGCACCCGTGAACTGAACGGCACGACACAGTGACCATTCTAGCGCGAGACAAATGGCTTGACCACTTGGCCACAGAGACATATTAGGTTAGAATCTACACCAGGAGGATCTGGGGATAAAATGGCCTTCCTTGGCGACCACGTCGACACGGTTTAAAGAAACAATGGTTGCCAGAAAACGGAGGTAAAAGCGGCGAGTGTGCTGGTGAGCATATCATCGATCGAATGCTTGTTGATTAAAATAGACGCTAGGCACGGCCACTGTTTTGAGCCGTGGCAAATTTTTTGCTTCTGCCAGAAGGTGGCCTTTGCATGTCTGCTCCATTTGCAGACTGAAATGATATAGTTTCGTCACCCAGCTTCTGAATTGAGTGCATGACGTGACACTGTGAGCTGTGGATTTAATTTAAAATGTTTTTCGACTGTGACCAACGTGGTGGAGTGAATTGTAGATTCAGAAAGTGGCGCGATGCCTGTTGTCGCAATATTTCTAATGCTGGACTGTTTTTGTTAGCACTTCTGATGGTTACCGTATGCTTTTAATGTGTGTTTGCTAGTGCAAATGCTGGGACAGCAGTCTGTCAATCATTCCACCAGGGACTGTGATAAACATTCAGTGCGTGTTTTCGTTGGCACAGGAGCGGAGCAACAATGGGGTGACCAGTTGCTATGAAGCTGAAACAAACATGACCAGATTACCAGAATGCTAGATGTCTATAAAAATATGAGACTAACATCATATGCCCGATGTCCCACCTGGGTGAAAATGACCCCTTACTTTACTGTAAACATTATTAACTATAATACAACACAAGGTTGGTGGGTGTCATTGGTGCAACTGATAGCTGTCGGTCAGGAACTCATAGCTGTTGTACAAGAACTCAGAGCTATCGGACATGAACTCATAGCTGTTGTACAAGAACTCAGAGCTGTCGGACATGAACTCATAGCTGTTGTACAAGAACTCAGAGCTGTCAGACATGAACTCACAGCTGTTGTACAAGAACTTAGAGCTGTCGGACATGAACTCATAGCTGTTGTATAAGAACTCAGAGCTGTCGGACATGAACTCATAGCTGTTGTACAAGAACTCAGAGCTGTCGGACATGAACTCATAGCTTTTGGACAAGAACTCAGAGCTGTCGAACATGAACTCATAGCTGTCGGTCATGAACTCAGAGCTGTCGGATATGAATTCAGAGCTGTCGGACATGAACTCAGAGCTGTCGGACAGGAACTCATAGCTGTTGTACAAGAACTCAGAGCTGTCGGACATGAACTCATAGCTGTCGGACATGAACTCAGAGCTGTCGGACATGAACTCATAGCTGTCGGACAGGAAATCATATCTGTCGGACACGAACTCAAAGCTGACGGAGAGGAACTTATAGCTGCCGGACAGGAACTCATAGCTGTCGTTCACAAACTCAACGCATAAATTGAACGCAAAGAAGAAGAAGAATTTGCGTCAGTTTCCCGTGTATGTTCCAGTGCCCCATTGTAGGGAAAACAAGAATTCGTTAATGGGTTCATGATTTACCTTGTTCTCTCTCTCTCTCTCTCTCTCTCTCTCTCTCTCTCTCTCTCTCTCTCTCTCTCTCTCTCTCTCTCTCTCTCTCTCTCTCTCTTGGCAGGGTGTAGTAAAGATGTTGACTCACAGCCCAGTTCATCTCACTTCTCAATGTGTACGTGTGTGTTTATATATGTGTGTGTGTGTTCTTGTGTTATATCTAGCTGCCAAAACACAACAGTGTTATACCTGAGGTTTGCCAAAACACAACAATGTCATACCTGAGGTTTGCCAAACTTCCAGAGATCATCCGTTTTGCCAAACCAAAGGCCGGACTGTGCTTGACCGGTTATCACGTTGTTGTCCAGTATTGATGAAACCTTCAATATTAAAAAAAAAAAAATATTACTGCTTTGCAATATGCCGCCCTTTCAGTCTTTCAATTAAACTACATATTAAACGGTATCAAAGACGATTACTTGTGAGAACAATAGGTACGGAGTCATAAATGTTTTCTGTTTCCAACAATCATCATTATAATGTAGCAGGTCCTTTGCAGAACATCGCTTTTATCACGGTCTGCCTGAAAGAAACTCTCGCCAGCTCTCCCGCCTCAGGGACTTTCATACTCAAGGAGTCACTTATATCCTGCGCCCATCTTCGAGTTGTCGGCCCCTGCCCCTCCTTCCTGGTACCATGCCTTCTGCTATATTTGTTTCCAATCCGTCGTGCCGTTTGATGTGACCAAAATAATTCAGCTTCCGAGACAGGATACCGATTATTAGCCAATATTCTTTGTTGTTGAGATCTTTCAAGATGTCAATATTTCTCCTCTTTTTCGTCCAAGATATTTTGAGAATCTTTGTATAGCATTTCAGCTCAAAAACTCCTCTTCTCTTTCTTAAGGACTGGGAGATAGTCCATGACTTGCATCCGTGTTTCCAACAATGGGGACGTTTAAATTAGTTACAGTAGCAGTATAATCTTTAAACCGGCGTTCTTCAACTGGTGGTTCATACATCTACCCGGGTGGACAATCATAGCGGCCACCCGATTCTGGCAAAATGTTGCAGCATAGCAAATGAGACGCAATACATAGTAATTTTGTGCCTCGGTTAATGTCACTACTCGTTAACGTCACCACCCCACATGCACCCCCGCCCACTCCTCCCGTACGTTAATAATCACGTTAATGTTCCTACTCTTTCATATCAGACCCCCACGTTTATGTTCCTCCTCCTTCATATCAGACCCCGACGTTAATGTTCCTACTCGTTCATATCAGACCCCCACGTTAATGTTTCTACCCCTTCATATCAGACCCCCACGTTATTGTTCCTACTCCTTCATATCAGACCCCCACGTTATTGTTCCTACTCCTTCATATCAGACCCCAAAGTTAGTGTTCCTACTCCTTCACATACAGACACGCCCCTCTTCCCTCCTCCCCTTTAATGTTCCTTTTCGTTGTCTCTCAAACGCCCATCCCCTCCCCCCCCCCCTCTTTTCTCAAAGTTAGTGCTCTTATTCATTCTCACCCAGGGACCTCAAGCCCATATAAATGTCTTTCCCATTCGCATTCAGACTCCCATGTCAAATGTTGATGTCTGTCATGATGATGATAATGAAGATGGTAAAGACTATGACAAAGAAGATGATGACTGTGGCGATCATTTCTTGCACCGACCTGATTCCCGCCAAGAACCAGGAACCCCCTGAAGGAAGTAAAATCCGGAACGACCCGGAGATGCTGCGATATTGGTCGGATGCCCCAGGTGCTTCCTGCCCACCCCAATGGAGACAGCTCGTAGAAGAGCCCGTGCATGTCCATCAAGTAACGTTCAGTCTCCACCTCGCGGATCCTCGGCCACTCCGTCTGCCAGAGGTGGTCGTAGGCATGGGAGGCCTTTGGTAATCTGTAAGTCTGCCAGTAATTGTTAGCTGCGGGAATAACATGGAGAGAGAGAGAAAGGATTATTAGTTGTGGGAACAACAGGTACAGGGTCATAAGGGTTATCTGTTTCTAACAATAGGTACGGATAAATAATTGTCAGTTGTGGGAACAGCAGGTGGACAAAAATCATTGTTAGTTGTGTCAACACCGGGTAAACAGACACAATTGTTAGTTTTGGAAACTGGAAGTTAAGAGACTGGAAGTTAACAGAACGAATTATTAGATGTAGGAACATAATTGAAAATCTTTATCATGAACAACAAGCAGCCATCAGAGCAGCTGGTGAAACATCTGATTGGTTCGAGGAGCAAAAGGGGGTGAGGCAGGGATGCATTCTCTCACCATACCTTTTCAATATATATGCAGAAAATATAATGAGAAATGTCAAAAATGACCAGACTTGTGACAGTTATGATCCGCTCAAAATTGGTGGCAACTCTATTCCGGAACTCCGCTACGCAGATGACACAGTCCTCCTTTCGAACAGCGTAAAGGGAATAGAAAATTTAATATTGTCTGTCCAAAAGCACAGTGAAGATCAAAATCTGTTCTTGAATTTAAAGAAAACGAAAATAATGTCCACAGATAAAACTGGCTGTCACCCAAAAATAACAATAAAGGATGAAGAAATTGAAAATGTCACAAACTTTGAATATCTAGGCTCTATAATAAACAACAATGGAGACTGTTTGACAGAAATTAAAAGGAGGATGGCCATAGCAATGCTAAGATTGAACAGCCTTAAAAGTCTATGGTTAAGTACCAGCAAAGAGATAACAATTAGAATTTTGAGAGCATGCATCTTCCCTGTGGCTACATACAGATGTGAGTCGTGGACTATCTCTCAGTCCTTAAGAAAGAGAATTGGAACTTTTGAGCTGAAATGCTATAGAAAGATTCTCAGAATATCTTGGACAAAGAAAATGAGAAATATTGACATCTTAAGGAAGATTGGCTAATAAACATCACCCTTTCTCGAAAGCTGAAATATTTTGGTCATATCAAGCGCCACGACGGATTGGAAAAAAATTATAGCAGAAGGCATGGTACCAGGAAGGAGGGGCAGGGGCCGACCGACACGAAGATGGGCAAAGGATATAAGTGACTCCTTGAGTGTGAAAGTTCATGAGGCGGGAGAACTGGCAAGAGACCGAGTTTCTTTCAAGCAGACCGTGATGAAAGCGACGTTCTACAAAGGACCTGCTACGTGATGATGATGAGGAACATAATGTAAACGAGCCGAGTTGTTAGTTGTTGGTGTAGCAGTAAGCAGACATAATTGTTGTGTCAACAGCAAGTGCATAGATATAACTGTGAGTTATTAGGGCAACATGAACACAACAAGGTCTTTTAGCTTTTAGCTATAAAATAACCATAGAAATAATTGTTAATTTTTGTGGTAACAAGAACATGTGTTAGCTTCTGAAGTAAAAAGAACATAGAAATGGTTGCTAATAATGGAAACGAGGACGGAGTAATGATCGTTAGCTGTTAGAGCCTCAGCGCCATGGAAGAAATTATTATCTGTTAAAGCAAAAGAGGCATAAACTAAGGATTAGCAGCTGTTGTTACAACATGGATAGAGAAATGGTTGCTGTGGTGACAGTCATCATAGAGAAGTTATTCTTAGAGTGAAAACAAGGTTGATGAAATAAAAGTTAGCTGTGTGAGCCAGGGGGGGGGGGGGGGGGGGGGGGGGGGGGGGGGGGGGGGGCGTTATTTTTAAACTGAGTAACAAATAAGAAAGAGGTGTACTTGTTTTTTTAAACCGTAGAAATAATGACAGGAGAATTATTTTTAACTATGTGAAAAGAGTTACGAAAAAAAAAAAGAAACTTTTAGATTAATTAACTGAGATAAAGGACTGAAATGGCAAACCAGCTTCAACATTTACGGACGGTTTGTTGTTTTACTAGGCATTTTTACGCTCTATAGTTTATATTAAAACATCGAGATCCTGCATGAGAACTGGCTCATAAACAGCATCCTGCCCTGAAAACCAGGGTATTTTGGCTATGTTAACGTCATGGGGGCCTGGAGAGAGCCGTGACGAAGGGTGCAGCTTCCGTAAAACGACATCGAGGCAGACCTCCACGAAGGTGATTGCAAGACATTGAATATGCATTGTCCGTAAAAGCAAATATGGCTGAAGAACTGGCTAAAAAAAACACACAACCTAAACTACATACCATAAGTGCGATCAATATAAACCATTTGCTAAATAGGACACACACGCTGGGCCTCTATTCTATTACACGAACTAAGTACACACAAGAGTTTTACCTGGATCAAACACCTTCAGAATGACAGACCGGTAATCCCACCCCAAGGCATAGATCACTTGTCCAAAGTTGCGGCGTCCGGTGACTTCCACAAACGCTGTCCGTTCTAAGATCGTCCAGTTCTGCCCAGGACCTCTCCACTCGGCGAGTCGACCTCCATGCTGTTTCCTAAACAAGTTAGGTCAGCGGGTAACTAAAGGACCATTTTAGTGGCAATCGTACATTGGGCTTATGATGATACGCTCATCTTTACAAAGACCAGTATCAATTTTCAGATGGCGCCTGCCTCCCTTGAGTATATCGCATGACCCCCCCCCCCCCCCTCCTCTCCCCTTCCCATCTTAACAAAATGTGTTTTAAAAGATGAGGTTAGGTTAGTTGCGTATACTTTACAGGACGTTACATAATTTACGTCCAGTAGTTTGCCATTGCTTCCTGGACGGTCGGCTTTCTTGATGCCACTGTCGAAACCAACGAAATGCGCATGGCCCGCAGCTGGGATCGAACCCGGCATCCCGGCATTACGAAGCGTTCACATCGACTTAGCCACAGAGCCGACAAAAGAGGAGGGTAAACAGAAAAATACTAAGTACTGTTAACACGAACTTGGAGAAAACCCACGCACATAATTAAAAACTGTAAATAACAAAAGAAACAAAAGAAACAAACATCATTGGTAATTTAGTGTCTAAATATGAATGTGATGGTTGACAATGTGTTGACGGTATCTGCTACTTTTTTGGTCTGACAATGGACAAGGCCCAAGGGAAAGCACTCTGCCCACCAGTCTGCCAGCAATGATTTGTTTTCATGACTGTCAACACTGAAACTCTTGATTATTTTAATACATGTTCAAATAAAAGTTTCTAAATTGCTTGACGCCCCCTTGAAACTACCTCACGCTCCAACCACCTCCCCCCCTCTTCAAGTGGGGGAGCCCCAGGTTGGAAACCAGTGGTTGACTCCCTGGTTGAAATGGCCAATTAAATTTCTTTATAATTACTTCAAAACTGTTTTGTGGTGCCCCAATATAACTGTGCTAATATCTTTAGGCAGTGGCCGTGGCGTAGACACTCGACGCTCGCATGTGAATCGGAAGGTGGTGGGTTCGCTCCCTAGCAGAGCCAGACTTTTTTCAAAAATAACCTTGACTCTCAGGTCGACACAGCCTAGAGTCTTTCACCGGGTGCAGTCCCGGGAAGTAAAGGAGGCCGGCGTAATGTTTACCACATTGCCCATCCTGTGCCGAATGGTATATAAAATATAGGCCTAGCCATACATACCCTATACGCCTAAAGGCGTGCAAAAGAGACCTTTACTTATTTTTACTAATGTATCTTTACGGAAGAACGGAGTTTCAAGTATTTGCATCTGTTTTATTCTAATCCATGTGATGCTTATCTTGCAGACTGCAATATGACGGGGCGAAGGGGGGGGGGGGGGGGGGTTCGATCATTAAAAACCCGCTCCGGTGTGGACTCGAATCCAGGACCTTCCAGTCGAGAGGCAGGCGCCCAGACATTGCGCTACCACAGTTCCCAAACAAGTGAGAACCACATCGTTAATGCTGTTGTTATTTACAAGTTTAACATCATTTGGTCATTTACACAGACGGTTCAGTGTCAAGAGGCAAAAGAAGTGCTTGGGGTTTCTTAGCTAAAGTTAATGGTCGACATTTGGTGCAGGAGAGCCAAGCATATGATACCACAACATCCAGCTTAAGAATGGAGGTGGAGGCTATCACTGCAGCTTTCCACTTGCTATAGAAATCGAGACACACACATATCGTGATTGTAACTGACTCAGAAAACATGCTGAGGAAGATCAGGACAGGCATGCTTCGTGCAGAGTGGCATGCCTCGCTACGGAAGACACGGGTGAGAAGCATTGTCTGGATTTTTTCACCAGGGTATGCCGGTGTGTTGGAAAATGAACAGGCGGGCAAACTGGCTGGCTCTGCACAGCTTGGTGGAATACTGATACGTGATAAGGCAGACCTGGTTAGTGCCTTGTGGGAGAGCGTGTACAGTGCAAAGGCGCAGATTGATCACCACAGTGTGGTGAGACTGATGCAGTTGGGAGTGACGAGAGGTTCTTGCAGATGCTCGAGGCTCAGAGGAAAGGCAAGACGGACGTTTAATCAGAATTCTGCTGGCACCATTAGTATCGGAACTCTTCGCTGGCTTCTGAAGATGGGGACGGAGCGCTTATGGGAGTGCCCCGAGTGCTGTGATGTCGGTTCTTGAATCAAATCAAATCAAGTTTAACACCTCGACAGCTGTCTGTATTTCTCATTTTAACTCCTTGTACACATTATCGACAGGGTCGACCCAGAAAGTCCGAAACCAATTTAAAAAAAAAAAAAAACCTACAGAGATGCAGTTTCAAACCCACAACAAATGGATCGAGAGGGAAGCGTTACTGTGATACTCCATGACCTACTGTGAAGCCGTAAAATAGAATGAGTAAATCAGCAAAAGGCAAGCAGAAATGGTCAGTTTAAAAAAACACCACAATCTTCTTCTTGGTCTTAGGTTCTACTGCCTATGCTATAAAGTATGGCAGAGAGAAGTTAGATCTAAATTTCCTATCTGTTACCGGTTGCGTAGCTTGTATTAATGTCATTTTGGGTTTCTGTGGCGTCTTTTTCACTCCCTTCGACCAGTTCTTTTTCGGGTCGGCCTCTTGACTTGTTGCTTGCTGTTATCATGTAATACGCTTTAGCTGCAGACTGATTTTGCTCCATTTAGACCAGATGACCAAATCATTTGATTCTTTGACGGTGTTAAAATCATTCACTTGTACTGTGCCTATCATTGTTCTTATTTCTTCGTTGGTGACCCCATCTCTCCTTGTTTTTCCCACCGCTTTTCTTATACATCTCATCTAACCTGTAACTTTGCATTTACGTTTTTTTAGGGCTGTCCAGAGAAGACAATCATGAGTGACACATTGCAAGTTAAGTAGAGATCTCAGGTTTGACCAACTGGCAGTCCAAAGGAAACCAAGTTGTATGAAACAGTTGGAGACACGCGCTGCACTAGAAACTTCATAGATGTCTGTGGCCTTCTCATCTGAAAACCACTAGAAGGGAGAATGACGAAAAGAACAGAAGAAGAAGAAGAGAAAGACAGCATACAAATAATAATAATAATAAAAGACCTCGACTCTGCTGCTACTTACCCGGTGAAATCTTCCTCCTCAAACGTATTACTGGCAACCACCAGCCTACCGTTCATGGTGTGGGCTGCCTTGAAATGAGGCTGCTCTCCTTCGGAAGATGGGATTTCTAGGACCTCCACCAGATCAAACAGTTGGGCGCATGCCAGACTGGTCACGTTACACTCCCACAAGGGTCCGTCCATCCCCAGCATGTAGACCTAGCATTGGAATCAACATTATCAAAGATGCTGTTAGGATCGCTGTGATATAGTGGTTAACTCTTCCAGTCCTACAAGGTCTAAGTTAATGTCTAAGTGAGAGTTAATAATGGCAATACTGAACTCATTGTAAAATTACTTCCAGATGAGCCAAATCTACAATCCTTGCATGAAACAAATATGCTGTTAGAGTCGCCCACTAAACATGAGATATAAAAACATACATATCATGTTGACTGGTACAACCGTATAATATTCAGTCACAGTTTTGTGCACGTTTTGGACCAGAAAGAATTAGATACATGCTTGTGGAGTTAATGGTTCGGGTTTGTCTCCAACAGACCAGAATAGTCCTGCGTTTTAACCTGTCAGAATCGCTCTTGCGTTAACTCGAGCAGGTCTTGTTAGTCAACATTGCCATCGCCATTGGCTGTGAACCTCGTTCCTCCCTACATCACAATATAACTCTATCGCATAGAAACACAGGAAGATGTCAACAAACAATGTCAACATAGATAACGTGTGTTCTTACTTCTTGTGTGTTTTTGTTTGTTTGGTTGTTTGTTTGGTTGTGTCTTTCTTTCTTTCTTTCTTTCTTTCTTTCTTTCTTTCTTTCTTTCTTTCTTTCTTTCTTTCTTTCTTTCTTTCTTTCTTTCTTTCTTTCTTTCTTTCTTTCTTTCTTTCTTTCTTTCTTTCTTTCTTTCTTTCTTTCTTTCTTTCGCTGCTTTCGTGTTCTCTTTCTTTCTTTCTTTCTTTCTTTTCTTTCTTTCTTCTGACGTTTCTCTTATCTATATCTCTCTACTTATATATATATATATATATATATATATATATATATATATATATATATATATATATATATATATATGTATGTTTTCCTGATGGTTCGCAGCGGTACCAGTATTACTTTAAGGTATCATTTTTTAATATTCAGGGCCACTATAACAGGCGTTTTGTGATCAGTATCCACACCTTGTTTAGACAGTTATGGTGGGTACCTGAATCTTTTTGTCTAGAAAATTAGAACAATCACAGCGTGTGTGTGTGTGTGTGTGTGTGTGTGTGTGTGTATATATATATATATATATATATATATATATATAGAAATATATATGAGTATGTGTGTGTGTGAATGTGCGTATGGCAGTATCTGGGTGTGTGTGAGATCTGACCTTCAAAACTGACATCTGACCTACCATGGTGTCTGGGTGTGTATGTGAGATCCTTACAGCCACCCATATTGAGAAACAGCTCAACGTTGATCAAGAAAAGAAGACAGACTGACATCTGACCTACCATGGTGTCTGGGTGTGTAAGGTGCTCCGCTGTGGCTCCTACTCTCACTGTGAGTAAGTCTGAAAACACTCGAACATTCCCTTGAAGGTCGATGACCCAAGCGCCGACGATGATCTGACTGGTCTCTTTATGGAGTAAGCGATTTGCGTAGGTTGAGTTATGCTGTGCCAAGGTAGTCATCTGAAAATGTACAGTGTGATTTACTGGATGGATGAGTGGATGGATGGGTGGATAGATTGATGGATGGATGAATGGGTAAATGGATGGATGAATTGATGGATGGGTGAATAGATGGATCTATCGATGGAAGATTGGATGAGTGCTTGAATAAATAAATAATGAAAGAAGGAGTGAAGATATGTATGTATGTAGGTGAATGAATGAACGAATGAATGAATGCCTGAACAGATGCGCGCGTGTGTGTGTGTGTGTGTGTGTGTGTGTGTGTGTGCGTGTGTGTATGTGCGCGTGAGTGTTCGTGTGCATGTGCGCGCGTGTGTGCACGCGAGTGTGTGTGCGCAGTGTGTGTGTGTGTGTGTGTGTGTGTGCACGCGTGTGTGTGTGCGCGCGTGTGCGTGCGTGTGTGCGTGCGTGTTTGTGTGTGTGCGTGTGTGTTTGCGTGTGTGTACATGTGTGTATGCGTGCGTGCTTGTGTGTGTGTGTATTTGGGACGGATGGATGGATGGAATAATAAATTGGTGAATAGGAGGGATTAAACGATAAATGTATGAATGTGTGGCTGGACACAACACTCACCGTAAAATTCTCATCTATTGTATACAACCCAGTCCCACTGCCCGAGTCAAAGACGGACAAGTAGGACACCACATACAGTTTATCTGCCCATGGCATGAGAGCTCCAGTCCCACATTCACTCCGCTTCGGTCCACTTTTAGCAGTCACTGTCAACGACGGGAAAATACCGTTGACCTGCAGAGGCAGGATGCGAATACCCCCTGACGATGAGCTATTGCCTGATGAAGGCGTAGGTATTGTAGGAGGTGTGGGGATCGTTGTCGTTCCACATTCCTTGGCATCAAATGCTTCTTTAGTATAAGGGCAAACGCACAGTTTACAGTTTTTGCTAAGCTTATGTTTATTTATATGCGATTGTCGATCAAAATTCTTCTTTGGAAAACGGTTTTTGTCGCGCTGAACAGAAAGCACGCTGAGACGTTCTTGTGCCTCAAGGGACTGTCTGTCATTGTCGTTAGAAACAGTGAATCCCTGAAGATCTTGCTGAGCGTCCACGCGTCTTCCTGAAGTTTTGCCCAGTACCATTAAAAGGTAGGTAAAAGGCGAAGATCCAGCTTAGCTTGTACATTGTGTTCGCATCAGATAGATACGGTCAAAGTCCAGTCAACAACGATAGTAAAACAAACTCTAGTATCCAAGAGGCTGTGAAGTAGAAAGGTAACACTATTAATTTGTAGTAATAATTGAAAGTAGATTTTGAGAGAAACTTTTACTCCTCCCCTACCTTTCTCCCCCTCACGCTTCTCCTCCTTCTGCTGCTGTTGTCTTTTTCTAAAATTTACATCAATTAAATGTGTAGTTTAAGCCCCCACTTGCTTCCCTTGACCAGTTTGTGTTTGTTTTAATGTGTTTATTTATTTCGAGCAGTCTTGGAGTATTACTTCTGACTGACTGACTTTCTACCCCACCAGGACACTCACACAAGCGATAAACACCCGATGACACAATGTGCCACCATGTGGGTGAGGATCACCGTGGAGAGGTCCCAGAAACCGCGTTCAGCCTTTAGGCCATATTTATGGCCAGGCTATATTGCGGCCCCTGCCAGGAGCCAGAGTAGGGCTTCAAATAAAGAAAAATTGCATCCTGAAAAGGACGAGAAGTAAGTAGAACACACAGAGAATTACTTCGGCTGACTGGTGCACCAATCCATGTGTGCACATTGCTGATATTGCAATTTTAAATGCTGCATAAAGTAGCTCTGTCAGAGGTGCATCAGGCCTGTAGATGATGAGATCAACGTCACGGTGGTCACTTTTACGTTCCAGGACAATACCGTGTCCTTACTTTTCAAGGCTGGGTCTATCTGATGTCTCTCTGACAACCAAGGTCGGTTCTCATGAATAAAAATCGACTAAATAGAATTCGAATACAAGACCTTCTCGCCGGCATGCGAGCCTCTGGGTACTGCGCTACCTCAGCTCTCGATAGGGATGTAACAGCAATCTAAATAAAATCAAATAATCACGATTTCTTCTTCTTCTCTTTCACTATTTACCTCATCGAGATGGAGGAGGGACAAAAGGGGGGGGGGGGGGGGGGATGTTAGGATCGTCTGTGTGCTTTTTTTCCCCCAATGCATTGTACAAGCTGGTGTTCATATCTGTTAGGTTGCTCCTGATGATGTCACTCCATCTCTCGCGTGATCTTCCTTGCTCTGTATTCAGTATATTTCTTCAGCGTGACTCTCTGTGGCAGTTGGCACCAGCGCTTTCTCGTCAGGTGGCCAAACAATCTCATTTGTTGTTCTTTAATAAATTGTATGACTGGTATCAGGCCTATTCTTCTTATTTTTTTCATTCTTGATTGTATCTCTTCTTGTCACACCGGCAGCTCTCCTAAGACATCTCACCTCTGTTGTTACGATCTTCCGCTCATTAGTTGTAGTAAGGATCCATGTTTGGCACTGGTAGCACAATTTTGGCCGAAAAACAGTTCTTATAAGATTTGCTTTAATTGACATAGGTATCTCTTTATGTGTCAGAAGCGGTGAAAATTGTCCCATAACCTGATTTGCTTTTGCACATCGTACGTTGATTTCTCTATTTATTCTTCCATCTGAGGTGAAAAATGACTTTAGATATTTACACTAGATGTTTTTTTTTTTTTTTTAATTTCAAATAATCACTTCGATAGATAAATACGTGGTAGCCGAGGTGGCTATCAACTAGACACTCGTTTGCGGATCCGAAAGTGGTGGGTTCAAAACCGCATGATGTCGGAATTCTTTTTAAACACGACCTTGGCTCTCCCGTCGACCCAGCCCTAAACAGGTACCAGATAAAGTCATGGGAAGTAAAGGCGGTCGGAGTGATAGTGACGATATCTCCTATCGGGGACTTTGAAAATATGAGTTAAGCCTCATGTGTCTGATGCTTCCCTGGCGTGTTATGGGGCCTCTACTGTCTTTATAAAAAAAAAAATAGTGCTGAAAAAAATAGCACAATTTAAATAGAACAGAGGTCAGTGTTTTTGTCTGTCGGTGTCCCATAAGAGCTGCCTGTTGCCCTTTCTCTGAGCTGCTACGTGATGACCACATCTGGGAACTTCATGTGTCGCATCAAAAACGACAATCTAAAACAGCAATCCCGGTTCAACTCTAGAGAAGAAAAATCTAGTTTTTAATTTGCCTCCTCAGATACTGCTATTCGATAAATTGACACACGGTGACTCAAACAGCAGATGTTTCAGATGCGAGTCCGAAAGCATTTTTTCTGTACTCACACTTGAAGGGACGGTTGGTGCACAGTGTTGTTGTTTACGGCAAAGCTAAAAAATCTAGCCTTTTCGGCCCAACACACCCGATTTAAGCAAATCCCTAATTAGTCATTTTTTTTCGACATACGAGAAATGGACATTGGGTCTCAATCAATCAATCAATCAGGTGCCGTCTCCACAATGAAGGTTGGCTGCAATGGATCTCCAACAAGCCCTGTCTCTTGCCCTTGATGTACACTCACTCATACTGCTGTTTATCCATCTCTTGATGTTATCCTCCCACTTGTAACGCTGTCTGCCTCTTGCTCGCCTACCTTGAACCTTTCCCTCTAGGATGACATTGGGTCTACGACTTTCTGAAGAAGACCCGGAATTCACACTGCGAACCAGCATAAACAAATACACACCTCTTTCGTTTTTTTTAAAGGAAAAGATCCCGTACTCACCACAAAGTGACGACCACAGAAAAGATGAAAAACAGATCATACCTAAAACAGGTTCCGGTACTGCGTGCCGATAGACAAACGTTATATATATATATATATATACGAACAACAGCTATGTATCAGCAAATTATAGTAGTACTTTTAGCCCACCAGGACATCACACAAGCGATAAACACCCGATGACACAAAGTGCCACCATGGGGATGAGGATCACCGGGGAGAGGTCCCAGAAATCGCCTTCAGCCATTAGGCTATATTTATGGCCGGGCTATATTGCGGCCCATGTCAAGAGCCAGGCTGGGGCCTCATAATAATGAAAAATCGAATCTCACAAGGAGATAATTATGCCATAACAGCAAACTGTAATTTAACACGCCAAAGAAAATAAGTGCCCAGTAACAACACTAAGATACAAAAACAGTGCACATTACCACAGCCCTACCAGCAGCCTTGTATATGTTTGGATGGAGGACACAGACTTGCCTTTCTAATATACTTTTAACATGATTATCTTTCCCGGTCAAGCACATCGCAGTCCACATCACAATCATAACAACTTAAAGAAACCAAACTCGATGTAGAGTGCCCGCTCACTTGACCTCTGTTATCATACTTAAGCAAATGGCACAAGCGAAAAACCTATTCACAATAGTACGTTTATTTTAATCATATACTCCACTGATATGATTATGAACTATGCAGTTTAAACAAATAATCATTGATTGAAAACACTTGTAACTGATTGTTACAACTACTGTCTGCTGCATCTTTACCCGTTCAATAAAATACAAATCAAAACTGTTGCCTCCCTTCCACGTGATATCTATTGACGGTGAAATACCGTAAAATTATTTTAACTGGACTGTCTGTTTATTTTTCAAACCCAGCTATAGCGAAAGCTGATTATCTTCAAGGTCAGATCATAGTGAAATTGCTTACTGTAAGTAAAGTTTCACGTGATTCATTTTATTTATAGATGACGCATGCGCGAAAACTCGTTTTCACGGGCTGCTGTCAGTGTTGCCACTTTGGATCTTTTACATCCAAATTTAGATCTTTTTCATTGCATTTAGATGTCGTTTTTGACGTTTAGATCGTTAATATCTTTCTAGATACTTTTCATATGGAGAGATATTTTATAGATTTTTTTTTCTTTCATTGCCAATTTAATAATTACTGTGTAAAATATTTACTACAGTATTTTTGTTTTGGTCTGGCACATACATTGTGACAACTGCCATTACTTGAACTTTGAACTCTCACTGGGGTCAACGCACAAATATCTAGCAGCCCCGGTACTGATTAATAAAAACGCACGTAAATCATACTAACATTATCCATTTTCGTCCTTTTTAGGACGAAATTTTTTGTCATTTGAAGCCCCGCCCTGGCTTTTGCCAGGGGCCGCAATAAAGGCAGGCCATAAATGTGGCCAATTGTCTGAACGCGGTTTCTGGGACCTCTCCACGGCGATCCTCATCCACATGGTAGCACTTTGTGTCATCGGGTGTTTATCGCTTGTGTGATGTCCTAGTGGGGTAGAAAGTCAGTCAGTCATACTAACTTTGTTTCAACCGTATCCTCACTGTGATGACTTTGTGTTTCTTTTTCATGTGATTAAAAAAAAAAAAAATAATTGCTTACCTTCATATGTGGCTTTCACTTTAAAAAAAAAAAAGCTTTCAACATGCAAAAAGTAAAGTATGTGCAAAAAATTGTGAAAGAGTGGTTGCATGATGACAAAATTAAAAACTGTGTGATGGCAGTTCCTGGGGATATGAGCAAAGCTCGTTGTAAGTACTGCAAGTATGAAATTAAAGCGAAAATCCATAACTCAAAGAGTCATGCAGAGACTAAAAAAGCATAAAACTGCAGTTCCAGTTAAAGATATTACACCGCTGACATCTGTTTTCAGAACTATACTGATAAATGAATCATCAAAAGTTGAAGAATCAGTCTCAATGTTTTTAATTTGTCACTTTGCAATTTCAAACTGTGACCATTTGATCGATTTGTTAAAAAATCTTGGACTAGTTCAATTTGAAAAGTGTGATGTAGAAAGTATAGTTTAGGAACTGAAGGGCCTTTTAATCAGCAAACAGTTAGGCTTGAAGAATTTGGCTGCAATTGGTACTGATAATGCCTCAGTGATGTATGGCCGTGGTGAGACACAGCCATACAAGGATAAGTTTAGACGACAGTCAATTAACTTATACATGGGGTATCTAAAGTCAACGACCTAGAAACTTGAGGGGCTAACGTGGAGGTAAAACTCATAAAGCCAAGGTTAACTGGTTGACTATTCCCATCATAAATTTAAAGAGGCAGGACCTGAGAGTCAGGACGAACGAAGATTTCCTG